TTAATGTCAAATTTTGCAGGTCGTGAACGGGAGGAGGTACGACCCGTGTAGACACGCCCATGATATATACAAACATACGAATATACATATATTCGTATTAACATATACATATTATTCATATACACGTATTAAGTGTAGGTTATAGGTACGGGTTACGGCCGGCCGGGCACTTTTCTGTCGGACTCGACTCGTCGGGGGCTTACTGCACCACGGCAAACACTGCGATCAGTTCGAGATTGGTTTTATTTTTTTCGAAATTTTTTTTTCATCGCGTAAACAATTACACACTCGTACGCGTACGGAAAATAGCACCCGATTTTGTTACGCGTGCGGCGGCTACGCCGAACTGTGCAAAACACGCGTGCGCGATTCCTCGACGGGAGTTGGCTACCGCGGTTGGACTTTCACGTGCCGGAACGGTTCTCGTAGGATTTTCGAAATTCCGTACGTAAACGGCGATTGGCGCCGAAAGAGACCGAGAAAAATAAATAAATATGCAATCCGCGACACGTCCAAAAAGGTATACGTGTGATTTGGGTCACGATAGCAAACAGTATTGCAAAACGGATTGTAAATATTAGACGGGACAGAATAGTTTTAGTACGCGTACAACACTTGTTGGCATTACAAGCTATGCGCGTTAACGTGTTTATCGATCGATTCGAAAATTATAATACGATTTGATCGTGATTGGACGTGCGGGGGAGATATAACATTACGGGAAGATACGAAGTGACGCGAAACGCATAACATCGGACGCTTGGGTAGGTGGCGCAAATGACCCGTGCGCGCGTTTATGCGAACGATCGGGTTAGATTAGGGTGGTGGTGGTGGTGTTCCGGGGCGCGACGGCGTGCACGCGAACGGGTTGTGTGCACCGCGGCTGTTCTTCGCGGGTTTTTGTTCGCGAGAACGGTTTCATGCACGGGGGCACCGACCTTCGGCATATTACAATATTATCATTGTGATTACTATTATTCGTTCGTACGTGGATCGATGACGTGACAGAAATCCGATGTGCAGGTATTTCGCGCGCCGATATCGTCGCACCGGTCGTACGCGCCATTATTATTCACGATCGGCTCACGGTTGTACGCGTGCGAACATCGCAACATCGTTGTGACCTACATTTTGCCACCGGTGGGCGAGACGGATTTTGGAAATTTCAAAGTCAAAATTGACGCGCACGCAAGTATATAATATTATTCACCTTGACTCCGATTCGTAACGAGGTGCACCCGATCGTCTGCCGCGTCGGGTCGGAGAATAAATCAGTTCCCGGAATGTACAACGGGAGAAAGTAACCTTGTCCAGCGCAATTTTTCCGCTACGCAGTTTTTAATTTCGCACGTTCGCACTACGCGGGTATGACGTGCGCGCGCCTACGTCTGTTTGTGTGTTCAAAAGTTTTGTGCGCTTCGACAATACGGAAAAGCGTTTTTTTTTGCACGTATCGACCGTAGAAATGGCAGAGAGAGAGAGAGAGAGAGAGAGAGATTATCCCATTTATATCATGTTATTGTCAGAACACTACCAAAGTTACTCATCTTATGTCATAGAAATAATTGTCAACGCAACGGTAAAATCGTTCAAATACCAGCCCTTGCAACAGAGAGCACTTGGTGTGCTTAAACCTTTTTCGTTTAGAACAAATAAGTAAAAAGAGAGAAATAATAATAAATAAACACTCCGTAAGCTTTATGAACGCGTATTGTACTCGACACCATCAAGGATGTTGTGTGTTCGTCCGATTACCGGAAACCCGGACTCGTAAATATGTATACATATATTGATATTGACACGGTTTGATAAAAACGTGTGGTAGCAGTATTGTTCGAGCGAATACGTTAACTGCGGGCAGAAGAAAAACGTTGAGTTCTCGTGGGGAGAAAGGCATGTGTCCGAATGCAGTTCAAAAGTCGACAATGGTAACGAGTCGGACTGACCAACGGCTAACACACGCGTATACGTGATAAATACACGTTTTTGGTTCTCTCGACTCGCAGTCATGTGGACACAGTGTTTGCAGTTTTCGAACAGTCGAACGCACCGAAAACTTAGAATTCGATTATGTTTTACGTCCAACCTCGGCTGGGTTCAATTTCGATATTTATCTATGTCGTGGTCACGTATGCAAGTATAAAGCAACGCGTCGTAACCGATTGATTTTAAAAGCGCGTCACGATCCACGGCACAGGCACGTCACATTCGGTATTCGGTACCGATACAATATTTTTTTATTGATTTTGTGCCGCGGTGACGACGGGATCTTATGGCTCGGGAGACTTCGACGGTATAAGGATTTATTCCCCTCGATTTTTTGACATCGCTCGCCGAGCCCGAAATAAAAACGTGTGATACGGGGTGATTTTTTTTTTAATAATAATAACAGTTGTGCAGTATGTCGGCTAGACCGGGAGGACGCGTAATGTCCGTAATGATCGCGTGGAACGAATTTTCTTATTTTTTCGTATGTCGTCGTCGACCTACATCGTTAATTAAATCTCGCGGCGAGTTTAACTTCGGCATTGTATAATCGCGCATAATAATAAAACATTTTTTCATTTTTTTTTTTTTTTCTATTCCTTTGTAAGTACAACGTGGCCCGTCAATTATAAGTATAAAATATACGATATTGGGATGACATAGAACTGTTATCTCACATTATTTAGTATCGTATCGTACTGTACAGGTTTTCCAACGCGATGTATGTATTATTGTTATGTACATACATAATATGGGTTCGTTGTTCGGGTTTCGGCGACCGTCCGAGGCGAGTGGGACGGTATCTTACACTCCTCCCACTCAATACGCGACGTACACTTGTTATTATTATTATTTTATTTTTTATTTTTAGGAGAAGGATATTATATACAAGCCGGGTTCGGATGTATTTAATTTACGTGTATGCGCGCAAGATAATAGTGTATATGTACGTATAACTCCGGTAGTATGATAATGGGTATGTATAGTTTTTTCGCAAAAAACCGGTTCGCGGACGTCGTCGTTCGCTGGCAGGACGATGAAGGAGAGAGGGCGGTACGGGTGGCTGAGTTGAAACGACCTTTCGCCTTATCCCATCGCTATATATACTTAGCGTGTACTTATATGTTCGAGTATATTTTGCATATATATATATATATGTATACACGCAGTCGGCGATGGCGTCGTGGAAGAGTTCGAAAAATTACGCATAATCGTACATTTTTCTGCCGTACGGGCTAGGTCGTGATTTTACCGCTATACGGACCAGTACACTCGTAATATTACCATCGTAACGCGCGTTAATGATAATTATACGATCGTAAACACTATAATAAATTGTACACGTGTATTTAAACATTATTCGACGCTCCAGTCAGATTCGGTGGTTTGACCCGCTCGAAATATTTCCTAAACCCCAGAAAAAAAATGTCTTGAGTGCGGTACTATATGCTCTAAACCATTTCTATCTGGTAACGCGCAAAACCTTGGTCAAATATGTGAATTACAGCCATTGGCATACATTCTGAAATACGATCAGGGGTGGTTCTTAATACCAACCAACGACATACGTTTTTCTCGTGACAATGCAATATCTAATTATTAATTTCGATCAATGTCTATTGGTCAATATCCTGTTGCAAGTCTTGGGTGAAAATGTTGTATTCTCATCAGAGGTATCATTATTTGGAAAAATTTCCGAAAATAACCGAAATTCCACCGCTATAGTACAATTATTAACTAAAGTTTCAGCGCACTTATTACTTAAATGCCAAGGGAGGTAGAATATTTCTTACGTTCGAACGCTATTGCTTGCGTCACTGTTAGATCTCATCCCCGATGAAACGTGATTTGATCTCCGTGTGAACTGCGTGTTTGGCATGGTGCAAAAGTTAAAAATAATTCACGAACGTAACGAAATAAGCGGTGAGATTAATTTTTTTTCGAGTCATAAAAGCCACGGCAATGAGCGCTACTATCAAAAACGTAATATAACAAAATATTGTATTATTATTCCGTAAAGATATACTTTGGGCCATCATTCAACATAAGTTTACATATATATAAATAAGGAATAAGTTTTTCAAATAAAATTCCGTTTTCGTTCGTATATTAATTTAATAAAAAAAATTGTAAACGCGATAGTACTAAAACCGACTGACTACAGATCGACATCGTATAATGTATTGGCATAGCATATAAAATTTTAATAAAACCATCGTCTAACCATGATACTATATAGTCTAATTGTAAGTCTTAGTGTTTTTCTTTTAACTGTACGTAAATCGTTACCTCAAATGTTATATGTTAAAAAAGTGCCCGGGCCGTATAATTGTAATGGACAAATAAATAAAATACCACATCTACTTAAAGAAGAACACTTTTATTTTTCACTTAATCGTTAAGATAAATCGTAAGTTAGGATAAGATATTATTTTTTACGTTCCGGCAGTCCGCCGCTTTATTATCGGTGACAGTACGTGGCTGAGTGCTAACAAAAACTCTTTAATTTAATTATTTTTTAACATTATCCGGATAGAGTCGTTGATTCGTGTTCGTGCATACGATCGTTTACGCATCAGTCAATAATATGTGCTCGGATAGTGTCGACTTTAAGCCGGTACAACACAACTCGTTCACTTGACTAGTACACTTGACGATCAACAAACGCGATTATTTTTAATTCCTTTGATTCGTGTCGCGTTTACCGACAGCCGATGGGAAACCACGAGTGACTCGACGAGTAAAAATAATCGTCCGACTTGACGATTAAACACCTTTTACTCGACTCGTAGAGCATAAGAATCGACGATTATTCGCCAAGTGCTTTAGCCAAACGTAAACGTTATCCGTAACACATAAATACTATACGTGTTCATTCGATACTCGTAAGCTGTGACTTCCCCAGGCTAACCTCCCTTTGAGCGTTTACGGATCGCTTCCCATGGTCCTCGTAATCATCCCTTCCCTCGTGCACAAGTAACGTCCTGATTTTAATCCCCGTTGTCTTTTTCCAGGAGGTTTCCGTCTCGTGCGTGGTCAGCGCAATCCGTCGGCCGCAGCAGCAGCGTAGCGGACGGCCGTTATGGTGGCGTCCGCGGACCGCCGCGAGAGCTTCGGCGTGGACAGCAGTATGTTCCACCACCGGAAGCCGGCGAACGGAGCGAACAAAGACAAGTCGTCGGACGTGGCCGTGTACACGATCTCGGTGGTGGGCGGCTATGAGAACCAGGGCTTCAAACAGGATGAACAATCGGGCGACGGCGGCCTGGCCAAGCCGCCGCCAATGGGCGACGACGACGGTAGCGACGACCACCTGCCCAAGGGAAAGTTCAAGATGTCGCCCAAGGAGAAGTGGCGGATCCTGAAGAACGTGTCGACCATCAGCCTGGCGTTCATGGTGCAGTTCACCGCGTTCCAGGGCACGGCCAACCTGCAGAGCTCGATCAACGCGCGTGAGGGCCTGGGAACCGTGTCGCTGTCCGCCATCTATGCCGCGCTCGTGCTCAGTTGTATATTCGTGCCCACGTTCCTCATCAAACGGCTGACCGTCAAGTGGACGCTGTGCCTGTCCATGCTGTGCTACATACCGTACATCGGCGCGCAATTCTACCCGCGATTCTACACGCTCGTGCCCGCCGGCGTGCTGGTCGGCCTGGGCGCCGCGCCCATGTGGGCCGCTAAGGCCACGTACCTTACGCAGACCGGCGCCGTGTACGCCAAGCTCACCGACCAGCAGGTGGACGGCATCGTCGTCCGTTTCTTCGGGTTCTTCTTCCTCGCCTGGCAGACCGCCGAGCTCTGGGGAAACCTCATCTCGTCCCTGGGTGAGTCGTCGTCGTCGACGTGTTTATGTTTGAATTTTAAAATTAAATCATTTGATCGTTTGATTCATTTCGATTGTTACAATGAATGTTGTACTTTATCATAACATGATTGGAAACCGAAAAGCATCGACTCTTGTGTAGGGACCTCGTCTTTGTCGTTCGTACGACACGCGTGAGCTAACCGTAACGTTCGTGTTACGTTCAGGCGTTTCAAAGTGTTTTTAAACGTTTGTTTTTTCAAAGTGTTTTTAAACCGCCAGCTCTCCGGTGCATCTCTCTCGCGGAATGTTTACTGACAGATAATTTACAGTTGTAGATTGTACAACGAACGTAAACCATAACTTTTCCGTCGGTCATCGTTGTCGACTTCGCTCTTCTCTTCGAACTCCGACCTACGGCTAAATAGTTCTAAACCCGACACGAACATGGCGTTAAATGTTCTAATCGACGTACTTTTTCCACGCTGCGTGTGCACGTTAGACGGACGAACGCAATCAAACACAAACCGATGTCCTAATGTGGTCCACGCTAATCCATCACCGTACACTATATTATTGTGTTCGTATTTTTCGTCGTTAAAAATGTTAGCCGCTGCCTTACAACGAGCAATGCATAGAACGCTAAACGATGTTCGTATAGCACTCGGATATTCGTTGATGATTTTTTAGACTATCCCGGAATCGAACAATGGGCGGAGGAGGCTGCGGCATCTGTATGCATTAAAGGGTGCAGCGAATTGTTCTCTAACATTCTAATATCAAGATCTCATAGTTATCCTTGTGGGAATATAGTAATAAAAATAAAACATTAACACGTTGTAACACGTTTAATAATGGTCAATGCGCATTTAAGTATGATATTAAATTCTTCTACCTATACATGATTCACTCGAGGGAATCTGATGAGATTCAATTCTGCCTCCCCCCTGATCGTTGACGTATAAACTTTTGATCATGCTACTTTTAAATATCGAAAAATCCGTCTAAAGTTTTAGTAGTTTTGAGTCCCATCACAATTTCACACCGCTGGCGTAGGCACGGTTCATTATTCTCTTGCTACGTCACTAAAAGCGGAGGATCAGTTTTGACAACTGTTCCTCTCTCTCTCTCTCTCTCTCTCTCTCTCTTTCTCTCTCTTTTAATTTTAATGTCAATGTTCTATTTTCCCAGGGAAAATATCCGATGAAAAATATTTGAACACAAAATAGGTAACATATGAATCTACTCCTTTGTCGTTCGTACTAGCGGCGCACGATGAAATCGTTTCGAGTCGGACCCTTATCGGTAGTATTTCGGAATTTTTATTCAACGTCGCGACTTTTAAGGACACACATTAACACAAATCAGATACTTAGAAATACGTTGTCACTCATATGTAAGAAAAATAATTCTTATTATCTACACGATCGATTTATAATTGTTTGTACGGTGCCAAATTAAATGTCTTTAAATGTCTTTACAGGGCCCGTCTAAGGTCGTATACATAACTTTTGTATGGGAGTTCAGTTGTATACAAATCACTATGAAAGGATAAAATCTATAGATTTTTATTTCCAAATTCTACAAATAAACATATAATGTACAACGTAATTTTTTTCTTTTTTTTTTTTATTAAACAATTTATCAATTACTTACTTCATCACTGATGGAAATATTCCTATGCGTTGTCATTGTTTACAAAAATCATAGCTTTTTTTTTAATTACATTCATCCACAGTGGCGTAGCCAGGGGATGGTTAACGGGTTATAAACCTCCCTTCCTCGAAATGTCTCTCTTATTTAGTAAAATATACAATAATTTTTAGACAAACGTATAATGTAATATCATGTCATCATTAAACAATTTTCACAATTTCAATAAACTAAATAATAACACATTTTATATTTCAACTTATGTTTAATCGATATATTAAAATTAAAAAAAAACTGGTAATTAATGTAGGAGAGAATTAGAAATTTAAAACCCTCACAAAATATTCTTCTGGTCACGCCAGAATAGGTACGTATAAGTATGTACGCTGATGTGTTATTGTATCTACCCAGTCGCACTCTTAACGATCATAAAATTACAACGGTTCGTATTAATTTATTGTTATATATTTGTACAGGCACTCGTTACGACCAACGGATACGATTTTATCCGATCGTATTCGCAGCTGTAAATCGCAATCAATAAACAATAGTTACCGAAAACGCATTAAATTACAGTTTTATGGCGAATCGTTTTCAAACCGTTACCTACGTGTACTGTGTATGCATTTTTCGCCTTTGTTATAACACTCCCGTCGCGCCACGCATCCCGTTCACAAATGTCAAGGTGAAATAGGTAATAATATTTACTGTCGTTAGGTCTCGACATAATTTTCCCTTCTCCCCTTTTGCAATTATTGGCCGTCGCGTTAACGACCGTTAATAGCGCTGCGCTGCTCAAATCTTTTTATTTTTTTTTTGCGCCCATCTTGCGAAACATGTATGTACCTGTTTGTGTCCACCTACCTGTGTGCGCGCGTGTGTGCTCCTATGAATTGGTAGACGTTCGGCCAACGAAACAATAGACCTTATGAATTATCCTGTACGACTTCAGTATCTATTTCGCAAACGGTACAGTTCCACTGTTGATTGTAAACGTAATTCGAAATCAATTAACTTTAGTGTTTACGTTAAAATTTTGCAATAACCCTCTCTCCCCAATAAACCCCGCTGCAGTTTCTAGTCATCCCAAATTGCTATCGGCTAGAAAATATTATAATACATTCCGCGTTAGAGTTGTGAAACGATTTTCGATCCCGATCGAAATATTCACGACATTTCAATGATCAGTATCAAATAGTTTTAACTTCAATTTTTTCTCAAGTTTATATAATGTTTGAAAAAATTTATCTAAAATATTCGTTGTTCCCAGTACCGTATCAACCAAATATGGCGCGTGGAGCGAAACTTTAAAATGTACCCTTATGTATTTTTAGTTTAAAAATATCATAATTTTTATATAATATTTTCAACAATTGTTTCGATTAATATAAAAGACGTTAAAGTTTTTGTAAATAAAGTATACAACATTTATAGTTGCAATTCTCAACATAATATGCAAGTTTTTCATTTTTGCGCTCTACCAGGAATCACACCCGGATAGTAGACACTTTGCGCCCCCCCCCCTTGCTACGGTCCTGGTGCCCGCACGTGTATACATATACAATTCAAATTACTGTCACCTTTTGATCACTACTGTTTAAAAACGACAAAACGAATGAACTCGAAACTTAACATGGTGGTTCCTCTAATGCTCTTGTTGCGCAACAAGAAGGGATATTTCATAAATCACACCTTTAACGGCCGAAACAAGTTTGTGCTGAGTATTTATATTACTTAGCTTTTCGGTCACCCAGGGAATATTTTATTTCGTTTAACACTTTGATTTTAATAATCACCGATTAAGGTGTAAATGTATATCAATATAGTATGAATAAATAAAAATAATTATTATAAGAACGAACGATGATCGTGTGTTTTTCCCAATCTAACATTTTATATTTTTACCGAAACAGCAATAGCTCTAATTTAAAATAATGAAATATCTCGCGGGCGAGGCCAGGTAATTTAGCCGGTGTATACACATAATAATATAGTGTACACGTTTTTAAAAGCGGTTCGACACGTCGAGACGAAAATTAAATAATACGTGTGTATTATACGAGTATATGTGTGTGCGCGTGTGTAGTGTATACGTTGTCGAGTATAATATAACCGAGCGCGTATATGGACAAAAAGAAAAAAAAAAAAGAAATCGGAATGTACAAATGCGGAATATTATAGCTGCAAGGGGGTCTTGCATAAAATAAAACGCGTATAATGTAACGGGACTTTCCGTTTTGTGCGCAGTATTGTCTAGCGGTGCCCATGGTGGCGGCAGCGGTGACAACAGCACGATGCTGTCAGAAGAAGAATTGCGGCTGTGCGGTTCCAATTTTTGCGTAATGGGAAACCACGCCCTTGACAATTTGGAAAGGCCGCCGGACTCGGAGATATTCGAGATAAGCACCATATACCTCACGTGCATCGTACTGGCCACCATCATCATAGCCTTGTTCTTGGACCCGTTATCCAGGTAAACATTAATCAATTTTTTTTTTAATTTTTTGCTTTCCCGCGAGTCGTTCGAAAAATTTCAATTTTTCGATACGATTCGGAAAATGAAAGCGAATATGTTGTTTTTAGACTGTCCCGCTGCAACGATTTGAAAAGAAAACCGCGGCTGATAAGTACTTACGATGCAGTACGCCCGTTTTCTTCAGAAAGAAATTTTATCGCTCACTCGTTTCAGACGTTTTTCGAATACAACCGTTTATCATCATCATTTAGTACAGCTTATCTGTAACACTGTTTCACGTATTACGTTTATATTTGTCTAAATTTAATATTATCAAGACGTTAAACTCTGCACAGCCTTAGATATAGACTATAGTTACTGTCCACGGTAATCTCTTGCGGACGTATTGAGATAAATTTAAAATTTCTTGCCGTCCGAGATTAATTGTATTTTCTTTCCAATCAAATCTTATCCAAGTGCTGTTATAACGATAACAGCACTTGGATAAGATTTAACAACGATTTCTGATGAAACCGATCGGTAGAAAAGTCGAGAACGAACGTTAAATCGAATCACTTTAGCGACGTGTTATCGGCGTATATCATGTAAAATATTTATTGTTCGACGTTGTGTTTAGAAATCGTCGTACGCGCACGTCGCTTTTATAGCGGAAATGTAATCGATGGTCGACGTTAGTCAATATTATTATAAGTGTAGTACTAATAAACCGGTGGAAGCCGGTGTTGGAACTAGGGGGGAGGGAGAAGACGGGAATTTGGGAATCGTTGTAGTAATAATCTACTATTGACTGCTAGTTTGATATTTTTAATTTTGCTACTGATAATGTGTTTTACACTCAACAAGTACGGTTGTATGGTAATTATTAGGAAACAATTGTTAGGGTTGAGTATTCGATTCATGGTCCGTGATAGAAAATTATTTCAACATTTTCTCAGGGCGCAAAAACGTTCCTACTTCCGCCTCTGGTGGGAACTAACGGATTATTGTTATCGGGTAGCCGATGAGCTCGATCGCTCATAAGTCATAACGATGCACAGACGATCTCTCAGTTTTATGCAAACGGTATTCGAAATGAAAGTTTTTAACCACACGCGAATACGAATCGGGGGAAATATGTTCTGCTGGCACTTAATAATAGTTCATGTTACGTGAACTCGAATCGTTTGTTGCGAACAAATCGCGCTGTCCCCGTAGTTCGGTTAAACGGTAATAACTCGAAGTTAGGTTAGTGTCGTGATTTTTAAAATACTCCTCGCACAGGTCACAATGGCCTCGAAAAAACATCCGTATTCGATCAACATCTGCTGCTCGAACAGTAGGTGTGTTATAAACGGTAATAGAAAATTGCAGCCGATACGATAGGTACAGTAATCGACTCTGCGGTAATGGATTTGAATTGTATCGTTAAACACGTTCGTCATCGGTATTGCGTTTGGTCGGACGAAAAGTTATTCTTCTAGTTCTTCGATTTTTTTTTTTTTTTTTTTTGGTTTTCACGCCGATTCAGGTGTTCGACGTGAGCGCTGCTGGTGTTTAGTCGTACCACTCGAACGTCATTACCGATCGGTAAAAAGTCCTGGAGCCCGAATCAAAGACGACCGCTCGAGTAGTAAATGTACGCTTGTTACACGCGCGTTATAGACGCACCACCGCGGCCGATACGTGGAGATATTATTTTTTTTTTCGCTATAAAATACGTCTCCGGAACCGGATAGAAGGATGTGCGCAGCGATTTTACAAGCGGATTTGACCTCAGCGTGAACGAGGCGAAACACGTACTTATCTCGCGCATTGTAAAGACTCGTTTCCATCGCGTTCTTTATGTTGCCGTAAAACAATATATCTTTGTGTGGTGCGGCACTATATCGTAGCGTATTTCAGACACCGAACGCACGCCAGACTGAAAAGGTATTTGACCTTGACGGCGGTACACATGGTTTTTCGACACCAGTCGACTTGTAAATGCCCATCGTCTCCACCGCCGCGGCACTAGTCTGCGCGCGTACCGTTATCGGAACGAACTCGAAATGCAACACATCGTCGTCGAATTTAAGGAACGCGCATCGATATCGTTTTCGCGTCTTAAGGCCGTTGACGAATATTTGTTTTCGAAAAGTTCGGACCCGTCGAAACGCGTGTACATGTCCCCGTTTCGTTTTTGACGAACGCTCGATGAGCATTTATTTTTTCGATTCCGGTGTCCGTCTCGTTTTGGTCGGAAAATAAAGATTGTAATTTTTCTGCTGGGAGCGAGACATTGTCCTTTCCCGCGTGGTACAAACCCGATTCAGTGTTTACACCACCGTTAATAAAAACATGGCTTTTAAAAATAACTCATACCTACTCGAATCAACGTCTTTTTACATGAAATTAATCGCGAAAACGTTCCGTCCTTTTTGTTTTATTTTTTTAGCGTTTTATATTGTTGTACTACAATATTTTGAAACGCCAAAGGACGTTTTTCATTATAATAACTTATTAATTGTTTTCTATTAACGCATTATAAACAACGTTTTGTTTACTTTTTCAATCCGATAAAAACTACTGGGCGTTTAATCAAAATCTAAATATTTTGAAGTTTGCTGTAGATAACAATGACGTTAACGGATTCATCATAATACGTTGAAACAGAGAGAGAGTTTTAACGCGTGATGTAGATACATTTAATGTTTACTTCAATATATTGAAGTAATTAAGTATACTTAGAAAATAAATCCTTGTGGACCGTGGGAATCGGTGTGCAATATGTGTATTAATACTTTGCAAATCAATTCATAACATTATGTAATATTATAATAATAATTATAACGTTATTATAATTCGATGAAATACTGCGCATGCTATATTTATATTTAAAAAAATGTATAACCGTTTTTCGAAAAACCACTAGATAGATTATTATTATTATTATTGCCTAAACCAATTTATACTATTTTTTTTGCATACAGGTTTGAGAAAATCACTGATAAATATTAATAATAATAAGAGCACCTTGACGGGGTGATTAAAGTTGTGTAAAGAACACGACTTTTAGGTCTACTGTTAAATAATTAATTGGATTCCTTCGAGTTACACGTTTTCTCGAATAAATGTCTCGCCTCCGGTACATTATACAGGTATACCATTTAAAGTGTTTACTGTGTTTCATTAAAATTATTATTATTATTTATTTACTTTTTTTCGCTCCGAGGCGTGCGTGTACGCTAAATTAAATCCGCTACATATTCTTCTAATTACGTGTGTATGCGAATTCAGAGTCTAGAGGCGATTCGGGTGTAGCAAAATTAAAAAAATACCCAGAAACGGAAGGTTGGAAAAAAATAACATTGTGCGAGTGGTTTTTTTTTTTTTTTTTTTGACACACTACCGAAAGCGGTCCGAGGAAACGACACGAATTCGGGTTGCTTTATTACAGATTGAACTGTGTGCGAGGGCAGCACACACACATTTCAATGATAGACAAAGTCAAATAATAACTATAACAAAATCAATAATAATAATAATAAACATACATTTTTACTCGCGCATACCGGTGTCCGGGTGTTTTTTTGCGCCGACCACACTACGATTATTACGTTGTTGTCGTACGGAGAAAGTTTTAAAGGTAGCCGCCGTGCACGTCGACTGAAACAACAACAGTAACATCAACGGTAATATTATAATATGATCGGAAATGTCCATTGTTCACCACCGTGGGGGAAGCGGGGGTTCACGCTGATTCGAAATCGATCGGGCTCACGTGGTTTTGGCACCTGTTGCCCCTCGGCGACGTGTAGAAACGTCCGGGAGGCCGTGCTGTTGACGGTGCAGGATTCCGAAACGTCCGGAAAACGGCGACGGCGTTGCTTGATCAAAACGAATCGGCCGTAGGCACGGAGATCGTGTGAAGGTGCGAGTAAAACGATCCCGTGTTACAGTTTTCAACACCGCGACCGTGGTCAAAGTGGCTTTGAACAAGTGCAAAGGCATGTGAAAATATCGCAATACCGTGCGCGTTATCTTATATTCGAAATATTACGTTTTCCTCTCTTTCGACTTGTCTGATAATACAAAACAAACGCGCATCGCGTAAAATTACAATTTTTCGGTAACGAGAAAAAAAAAATCGGACGGAAACTGTAAATTAAAATAAGTAGTAGAGTACATCCGTTTCACTTTGTTCACTGGATATAGTTGGCTATTTATCTACGCAATAGATTGTGTTCGTACCATTACGCATGAAAAATGTACGTATACACGGTCAGTCACGCCTAAAGAGACCGGCAAACCCTGAGGGGGTGCGCCCTCCAGCATTACCCTCATCGGTATCCCGCGGGAGCAGTCCGAATGCATCCTCCGCACAAGGAATAGGAACTAACCTTACCTTTACGGGACCGGACGTGGGTTCGGTCACCCGATTGACTCCTGTCTTTTTTTCCGCCAACACCGTTAGCCCTGTCGAACCAACCTCGGTCGAACCGGCGCGGGAAGTTAGTCGGAAAGTCCATTTCTAACCTAACCTTGGGCACTCGTCGTTACCGTATTTGATCACCAGATGGGATAAGTGGCCACGTAAGGACGGCGGACCCGAGTCCGAGGGACGGTCGCATCTTGAGCCCACCAGTCTTCGTCGATGAATTCGGGTTAAACTATACTCGCCGAAAGGCCTCGAGGCATCGTCAGCATTTTACGCAGTTTACACGCATCGATAGAAGTCGCTGCCCCGTGCAGCCTAAACGCAAGTTCGCTGTTCGGGGCGACGTGTTCAATTTATTCTGTCTTTCTACCTACCACGAGAAAGTGTTCAAATACCGCAATCTGCGGACCCGCTCTAGTCGCGCAAACCTAACCTAACCTAACGGCTACAGCGTGTACGTATACAGTAGTACTGCCGCAGCTTCCACGAATTTTTTTTTTTTGAAAGAGTCGAATTACAATGACACACGATAAAAGTCGGTGATATGGCAAGAGTTAATCTTCAAAAAAAAAAAAACAGTTGACAGCAATCAGACTTGACA